GAGTGATGAGGATGAGGATGAGAAGGAAGAAGGAGATGTAAGTGGGGGGGGAAGAAGAAAATGAAGTGGTGAAGGGGGGGGAGGAAGAGGAGGAGGACAGGGGTGGGTGCAGGAAGGTAAGGAACATATGAGAACTGAAGAAAATGAGAAAAAGAGTAATTGAGAACATCTTGTAAATGACTAAGGAGAAAAGGGAACGACTCAGACCAGAGGGAAGGTACACCAAAAACTGAACACGCATTCACACACACACGCGCACAAATAAGTAAATATAAATAGGTATATAAATGAACGAAAACATAAAAAGTGTGTGTATATGTATATATACATATACATATGTATGTGTGTATATATATATATATATATATATATATATATATATATATATATATTATATATATATATATATAAACTACACACACATCCACACCCACACCCACATCACGTCTCAGTCTTGCACACCGAAAGCCCAAACGCGGCCCGGGATATGAGATAACACCCTTGAGAATATAGAGCGCCATGTCATTTCGCCCTGAAGGAGAACCGCCGCCTTCAATAGGCCGACGACGAGGGCGAAAACATTTGTCTGTCAGCTCGTAAATATTGGCTTTCCGATTCCTTGTACACATAGGTTGTCATCGTTTTAACGGAATATCTTGTTATAATCTATCCCTAGGTATTTCATTTTATTAATAACTCGATCGCAGTCACCAATCGTTCCTTGCTTATTGTTGTTCTTTTTTATAAGAAAAAAAAAGAAAAAATATCCTCTCCCCCACCCTCCTCCCACAACACAAGAAACAGAGAGAGAGGAAAAAATCCAATATTCAACGTACCAATAACAAGAGTAACAAATATCGAGGAAAACTTAATGGCTAAGGGTATTGCCAGAGCCGTTCGGGACCCCTGGATTTTTGGGGCGCGGGGAAAACAACCTATACACTTTCCAGAATTAGTATTTCGAGTAAAAATGCCCAAAAAATGTTGTGACATTTTTTCTTTGACTATTTAATGTATCACATCCACTCTACGGGGTTCGGGCATTTGAGGAGAGACAGAGGGCGGAGAGGGAAGTCCTTGAGAGAGAGAGAGAGAGAGAGAGAGAGAGAGAGAGAGAGAGAGAGAGAGAGAGAGAGAGAGAGAGAGAGAGAGAGAGAGAGAGAGAGAGAGAGAGAGAGAGAGAGAGAGAGAGAGAGAGAGAGAGAGAGAGAGAGAGAGAGAGAGAGAAGATGTGGTGTGTGTGTGTGTGTGTGTTGTGTGTGTGTGTGTGTGTGTGTGTGTGTGTGTGTGTGTGTGTGTGTGTGTGTGTGTGTGTGTGAGTGAGTTGAGTGAGTGAGTGAGTGAGAGAGAGAGAGAGGAGAGAGAGAGAGAGAGAGAGAGAGAGAGAGAGAGAGAGAGAGAGAGAGAAGAGAGAGAAGAGAGAGAGAGAGAGAGAGAGAGACCAACTAAGAGGAGGGGTGCAGATGAAAAGGGACATATACAGATAGCGAAAGAGAAAGATACACACACATAAACACACACGATGAATACAAATGGCTCAATACCCCAGTGGAAATAAAGCAGAAAATTGGATATTCCTGGATTCAACGTAACCGTCGCTTTTATTTTATCTATCTATTTTTTTTTTCTTTTCAAAGCATGGTACAACAAAAAAATCTATACCGTTTCACATCCAAACAACCAAAAAGCCTCTCGAATGTTTATTCTAATCTACGTACGTGTCTGAGCCTCTCCTCAGTAACTAATTATTCATAACTACTCGGAGAACCGAAGATTTCGTCGTCGTTACCACAGTAAGACTTCCATCATTCGCCAGCTAATTACTTCTTTCCAGATAATGGCCACAGGAGACAGTAATTGGCTGTGGGCTAAGTACCCTGATAGGGGAACGAGGCTGCGTGACACTTGATATGACAAGGTGATTTTAACAAGGTGGTTTTAGGGAAACGGGGTACTATGAGATCTATGTCGTGACTCCTGTACGAAGGGCAGCTATATTATCCGATGGCTTCATTAAGACAGTGTGTGTGTATGTTTGTGTGTGTGTGCGTGGTGTGTTTGTGCGTGCGTGTGTGTTATACATTATACGTGATATATATATATATCACACAATACATATATACATATACATATATATTATATGTATATATATACACATATATTATATTACATAAATCTTTACGTCATTCTCACATGACATTAGCTCCTCCCTAAAGGGAGTTCCCCGATTCGGCCAGGAGTTTGCATTCACGTGTTTGTGTAAGTAATTTGATCGCGAAGACGGCGGCGGCAGAGAGAGGGAGAGAGAGTCTAGCGACGAGGCCACTTCATTAGCAACTCGCTAAGGCATCCCTTTAGAGGAATCCTTAAGACCAACTAAGATGCATTTACCCCCTTTTCCTCCTCCCACGCCGCCCCTCTGCCCCCTTAACCCCCCCTCCATCCCCTTCGCCTTTCCTGGAATGCCTCCCCTCCCTCCCCTCCCTCCCCTCCTCGTCTCTCATGTCATGCGATGATGTCCCTCTCCCTCCCTCGCAGTCATCGACCCCCGCCCGCCCTCGTGATCGGCTCGGGAGGGCGCCCGGCCTGTCTTCCACCTCAGGACCACTGTAACTGGTGGCATAAAGTGTCTGGAATTTGAATGTATAAATATTCAGACGCAAGAGAACGAAAGAGAGAGAGAGAGAGAGAGATGAAACGCACAGAGAGAGAGAGAGAGTTGAGAGAGAGAGAGAGAGAGAGAGAGAGAGAGAGAGAGAGAGAGAGAGAGAGAGAGAGAGAGAGAGAGAGAGAGAGAGAGAGAGATGAGAGAGAGAGAGAGAGAGAGAGAGAGAGAGAGAGAGAGAGAGAGAGAGAGAGAGAGAGAGAGAGAGAGAGAGAGACAGACACACAACAGACAAAAATAGACGAACGAGCAGAAAATCCCTTCCCCACAAAAGGGGAAAGCTATCCTATCCCAGTGCCTCTCCTGACCCCCCCCCCCCCCCCTCCCCACCCCGCAGTTACCGGGCGAATCCGACGCGACGGATTCTCGACTCGAACAAGGGCGATGGAATTACAACCTCTTCGGAACACAGAAGGGCTGAAGTTATGACATGAAAGCTCATCAAAGAATGGGTCTGAACGAGGGTAATGAGAGGGAGAAAACTCGTTGTTTGCAATTCCGCAGTTAAGGGGATAGTTGGGTAATTAGGGTGTCGTTAGGGAGGGGCGCAGAGGATGTGTTGGTTTAGCGATTTTTTTTTTTTTTTTTAGATTTTAATTTTGATATGTCTCTTTATGTATTTTTAACGCACTCATACTTATATATGTACAGCTAAGTATACCTCTTTGCCGGCTTATCCGTATATTTAATCATGTCTATCCTATCTATCTAGTGTACTATCTATCTGAGTCTACCTAGCTGTGTCTATCTACTATTTATCTACCTACCTACCTATCTATCCGTCTATCTGTATTTGTATTATGTCCGTCTACGTAACTTTTTCGTCCATTCACCTCTCCAGTTGTCCATCTCTTAACACGCCCAAGGTTTGTGTTTGTAAATCGAGAATCACAGAAAGAAAGAAAAAAAATTCTTTCACCCTTTCGCTGTAAAGTCAACACGTGTAAAGTTTCACGGACACGAATTTTGTGTCTCCCTTCATAACACTCTTTGAAAGTGTTTTTCCATGTTGCTTTCCAGACGAAATCTCAAATTCCCTCTCCAGTCGTACAGCCGAGAGTCTTGTGCATTGTTCCTCCCACGGTAGCCTTTCATAGCATTTTAAGTTCGTATCGTCAGCCCACGTGAGCAGGTTCTTCATTAGATACACTGCTCCTAAAGTGATTACTTGGCGGAGAGCCGTAATGTGAAGCGAGTTGGCTAATGCAGTTTGCCGAAGTTGTTTCTTCTTGTTGCTATTTCAGAGGCAAAAGGGAAACTTCTCGCTTAGAGACAGAAGGCTACCTTATTATTTTTTTATTTCAAAGCAACAGCCTCCCCCCCCCCTCTCTCTCTCTCTCTCTCTCTCTCTCTCTCTCTCTCTCTCTCTCTCTCTCTCTCTCTCTCTCTGACTTAATAGGGTAATAGGGCGAACCCTGATATAGATACTTTAAAAGAAAGAAGGAAAAAAACAGTCACAGTGAATTACAGAATAGCAAGATACTGCAGTATACCTCTCGTATTTCACACATTAAACCTACGAGAACTTTTGGCAGAAGGTCCATCGACTTTCAGTCCTTTTATACTGGAGGAGTTTTAGGTTGGTGCTTAGAAGCTAGAAATTCCTAAAGTTCCAACACTTAATCAACTAAATTTTAAGAACACGAGAGTTTTATATTTCTTCATCTCGTAGTAATTAAAACTCGTTTTTCTCCGATTTTCGTCTCAATATTTGTGAAGGATAGACTAAAGCATTTAACACTATATATTTTTTGTGCAACAGATTGACACATTCTCAGACATATGTACGCATGTAACTCCTGCGATTAAACCATTCAATATTCCACCATGACCTTCGTATTATTCAGGCAGATCCGCTCACGGACTGAAAAGCAGCAACATTTTCTTTCCTCGTGGGAATATAGCCATAGAAAACGGAACATCGCGCCCTCGCTCCCTTGGGTAGGGGAGACCCTTTTACTTGATTGGAGACACTATTTTTGACAGCCTGAAGTTTCTATTGCTAGAGGACCATTAGGAACTTGTAACATTCCTTAATGAGACGCGATGGCGATGGGACATATCTGAAAATTGATTAAACTTTGGGTATTGTTGTGTGCGTTCACCGGAATTTAAGAAATCATTAATCGAACAACATTAAAACTGAGCTGAACTATGCGCGACAATATTTCTCCACGAAAATGTATGAGAATTTGCAAGGTTCTCAATAGTCTCAATAAAATAATATTATAGAATATTAACAACCAAACAACCAGAAAAGAAACATACAATAAAAAAATAAATTAATAATAATAATAATAATAATAAGCCCGTATCCCTCCCCATCCACCCTCAG